ATTAAACTTGGTGTTCATCTTGATGAAACTTTGAATCCATCTCAAATATCTCATCTGTTTTCAAAACAAAAGCAAAGATCTTGTGTTACTAGCATCAGAGATAAAAGTGGTATTATTATTACCGAATCAGGAAAAGTTAGACATACAATAAAAGAGCTTTGTGAGGAAATGTATCAAGAAATAGAAATAGATGTTAACATGTTAAAGTCCTTTTTGAACTTTAAATATAATTATTATTTTGATCATTTGGGAGATGAGGTAATAGAAAGTGAAGTAGTGTCTGCCATTAAACAGTTAAACACTGGGAAATCTCCTGGGAAAGATGGCTTGCCCTCGGAATTTTATCAAATGTGTATTTTCGACTTATCTAACTTACTTACACGGGTGTTTAATGAAGGTATTGGAAAAGGTTATATGTATGACACGTTTTATGATGGGGTGTTATCATTATTGTATAAAAAGGGTGATGCCAGTGATATTAACAACTGGAGACACCTTACTTTGATGAATGTTGATTACAAGATCTTTGCAAAAGTAATAATGAATAGATTAAATGATATTTTGGATTTAATCATAGCTAAAGAGCAAACATGTGCTATTAAAGGGAGAGCTATGTGGGATAATTTGAACACTTTAAGAGAACTGGTATATGAGAGTGGTGAAAGTTTTTATATTGTTACTCTTGATCAGAAAAAAGCTTTTGATTATGTCTCTAGAACTTATTTATGGGAAGTGTTTAGAATGTATAATTTTCCTGATAATTTTATTAAAATGATCATGTGTTTATATGCCAAAAGCAATATACAGATTAATGTGAATGGCAATTTGACAGATTCCTTTGAAGTTATGAGGGGTGTAAAGCAAGGTTGCCCTCTTAGTGCAGCTCTTTATGTATTGGCAATAAGTCCTTTGATCACAAAAGTTAGGAACGATGAGCGTTTAAAAGGAGTAACTGTAGGTGGAAGGAAAGTTGTGATCTCTGCATATGCAGATGACATAACTGTTTTTATTAAATCTAAAAATGAATTAGATGCAATATTTGAACATTTTAAAATGTATGAACAAGTATCAGGAGCAAGACTAAATGTCTCTAAATCTGAATGTGTTTGGATAGGGAATCCTGAAAATAAGTTTGTGGTTAATATACCAGAAACTCAAAATTTAAAGGTTTTAGGAATTTGTATAAACAATAAAGATTGTGTAGAGAATAATTGGAATGGAAAAGTAGAAGTTATAAAAGAAGAAGTGAGTAAATGGAAAAATTGTGATTTAAGCTATAAAACTAGAATAAATATAGTTAAGACTTATATTTTATCAAAAATTTTATTTTTATCTTGCATATTTCCACCTACAGATAAATGGCTCAAAATTGTGAATAAATTATGTTGTAATTTTATATGGGATTCCACTAGAGAAGTAACAAAACGAAACTTGCTATATAAGAGGAAAGATTTGGGGGGATTAGGAGCCATAGATATCGCCATTAAAACCAAAATCTCTGTGTGTAAAATCATTGCAAATGGTATAAATAGACAAGCAGATTGGATTGGAAATATTACCAATTGGAAGCAAAAAAAGGGTCGTGCTAGAACATCAGTACCCTATTATAAGTTGTTATATGGTGATTTTATAAACAAATACAAACATTTAGTTATCGATTGGATTAATGATTCAAATAAAAAGATATATGGGTTAATAACTGATGAAGAGTACGGCTCAAAGGTAGAATTTAGAAATCTTGTAGGAGAAGAAAATGACAGGTGTATTAAAAATCTTCTGTGTAAAAAACTTTCTGACAAACAGGGAGATCTCTCATGGCTGATGGCCGTAAGAAGGCTGCCAGTGAGAGCTGTAGTAAGATGGAGCTGCTTTGTGAAAACCACTTTATGCCCCATGCCAAATTGCCAAGAAGAAGAGACTTTAGACCATTTTTTATTCAACTGTTATCGCTCTCAAGAAGTGTGGGAGATGGTTAAGGATATGGGTTTAGAAATAAATATACATATGAAATCTATAATATATGGGATTTTTGATGAAAAAGTAGATAACAGGAAACATGAGTTCTTGTGGTTTATCATCGCTATTGTAAAGTCTAAACTTTGGAAAACAAGATGTCGGATGACCATAGACCAACAATTCGTGTCCAGCAGAGACGTTTTTAAACAAATTAAAATTGAACTAAAGAGACTGCGGACGTTGAACACGCCATTCAAAGACGTTGACTTGTGGGACATTTTTGAATTGTAGGGTGTTAAGGTATGTGTATGTATATGCTGTCTTTCTTATGCTCTGTCTGTTTTATATGTTGAATTGTTGCTAACCAAATAAAGTTTCTTAAAAAAAAAAAAAGAAAAGGAGGAAAGGGTCTGGGAAAAGGAGGCGCTAAGCGTCACCGCAAAGTGCTTCGCGATAACATCCAGGGCATCACCAAGCCAGCTATCCGCCGTCTGGCTCGCCGTGGCGGTGTCAAGCGTATCTCTGGTCTGATCTATGAGGAGACCCGCGGCGTGCTCAAGGTGTTCCTGGAGAACGTGATCAGGGACGCCGTCACCTACACCGAGCACGCCAAGAGGAAGACCGTCACCGCCATGGATGTGGTTTACGCCCTGAAGCGTCAGGGACGAACCCTGTACGGCTTCGGAGGCTAAACGCTCGACTCGAACAACGATAAACCCAACGGCTCTTTTAAGAGCCCCCCACAGACCCACCGGAAGAGTTTTTCCTTATAACCCAGTAATAGTGAAAACAACAAGCGTTGTATTATGTCTCCATGGTAATTTTGCTTTTTAAAGACAGAGTGAGCTTGATTTAATACCGGATCAACTGGAGTGGTGGCGAATGCTTAAACTAGCTTGAAAACCCTTAAACATGTTTAAAATTGTACGATCATTTTATTTCATGCGCTTTCTTGAGTTGATAGGCAAAACATTTTCGTGTGTGTAAGGAATGAGGGGGAGGGAACTCGTTATATTTAGAATAAGCCCGATAAGGACATTTGTATTGTACGTGTGATACCCAACAGCTAAGAATGCGCGGGAAGGTGAACAAAGGGAAAGTCTTTAGCTGGGGGAGGGGGAGGGGGAGGGGGAGGGGGGTGGGGAGGGGGAGGGGGAGGGGGGTGGGGAGGGGGGTGAGGAGGGGGCGCTGGGAGTTGTCCGTCAAGTGAGCCGTTGATTGTTGTCCAATGATCGTTTGTCTGCATTCAGAAGGGCGGAGCTATAATTTGAATATCGGAGTCTAGATAAGCCGGTGCCGGGCGCACCTCCTCATTCTTCAGTTGAACTCGAAGAAGAGAAAACCATGCCTGAGCCCGCCAAGTCCGCCCCGAAGAAGGGCTCCAAGAAAGCCGTGACTAAGACGGCTGGTAAGGGAGGCAAGAAGCGCAGAAAGTCCAGGAAGGAGAGCTACGCGATCTACGTGTACAAGGTGCTGAAGCAGGTCCACCCCGACACCGGCATTTCTTCCAAGGCGATGGGCATCATGAACTCGTTCGTCAACGACATCTTCGAGCGCATCGCCGGTGAGTCGTCCCGTTTGGCTCATTACAACAAACGCTCCACTATCACATCCAGGGAGATCCAGACCGCCGTGCGCCTGCTTCTTCCCGGTGAGCTGGCCAAGCACGCCGTGTCCGAGGGCACCAAGGCCGTCACCAAGTACACGAGCTCCAAGTAACAAGTGACGAAAAACTTCATCAAACCCAACGGCTCTTTTAAGAGCCACCCAAGTTTCCACTCAAAGAGCTTACTTTTTCAGTTTCTGTGAAGGTGGGAAGAAAAGATGAACAAAGGTTCTGCTGCATTTCAGTCAGTTTTCCCATGTAGTTACTCTATTGGTAATGAATGGTAAGGCTTGTAGTAAAATAAGTTATATAAATGTAAACGCACATACACGTGCATCCTTTGCTGTATGTATACAAACAAAATGTCTATGTTCTAGTTTGTGATCTGCAGTTTGTTCTACAAACACCTGTAAAATACAGGAAACGTCCAGACTTTCAATTATAATGCTTCTAAACCTCTTCAATTTTTTTCCCTTTTTTTACACGCATGTATGTTTTTATGAATAAAAATCATTGTGTGCACATTTGTTTGAAAATATAAATTATGGGTAATAAATGAATATACAAATGAAGGTTATATTGTATGCCCTGCAGAAGTATGTTGAAGGTAGAGTGAGCAATTTTGTTTTTTTTGTTTTTTTCTGTGTATTATTGTTATTGTTTATGAAATGAATAAAAATGACATAAGAGTAAGTTAAAGTAGGTAATATGCTAGGCCTTATTATGTCTGTGATGTACAGCCAGGCATTAGACTCATGATGCAGTTAGTTAGTGTGAGAACAAGATGTTATAGTGCTACAGTTAAAGAATGTCAAAGTAATCTTAGGGCAGGGCCTCAGGCTTGTGAAGTAGTAAGTGAAAACTGAAATCTATAGGGCTCCATTAGACTTATGATGAGGCTATAAAATTAAATCAGGTACAGAACGAGGCTTTAAGCTTATGTTGTAGTTAGAGTAGGCCAAATTAGTCTTACCGCTAGGCCTCAAGCTTAACATGTATTTAGAGTAATAGCAAATGTAGAATTAGGCCTTTTTTGAGGTTTATGGTGAAATTAGATGAAGTGAAAGTAGATTGAGGGCAAGACCTTGACCGTTGCTGAGGTCAAGGTAAGGTGATGACCCCTCCTTGCCCATCCCAAATATTTCAAATCCAAACCTTACATAGTTTCTTTTATTATCTGTCATATCCTTGTTAACATCATTATTTTTCCTAATCAAGAATGATTCCATTATTTCCAAACCAAGAAGTAAAATATATACAAAAATAAGCTTTATTCACTTTGTGTATTACTACTATTCAATAAGTCTCTCTACGTATGTGCTTTTCTCCTTCAAAAACATTTTAGTTCTGAGATGGAACAAACAGGTTCTTCTCTGGGTGCGTGCTTCTCCTAGATGAGGCCTACTGCACTTTGCGTTCATACTCAGGGTCACACACACACAACCACACAGGGGGAGAGCTTCACATGGCGCACAGAGCCATACAGTAAAATATCATGATATAATAATGTTTTCCATATGAGATTTGGGTTATTTCACACTGGTCAAGTCAAAGTTCATTTACATTTTGTACAACAGCACATCAGCAGAGAGCAGGCTCTGACCTCACGCCTGTGCTTTACTCGCTCCAAGAGAGCCCGTTTTACACATAGTCAGCGAGGCGCTCGGTCGCTGGAAGTTCGCCCACGCCCTCGCCGAGGCTCTCCCCGAACGCGCCGTTGAGCTCTCCGAAAGTTCACGCCGGCGTTTGCCACCGTTTTCCACCGATTATCGCGCCAAATACGCCGTCTTTCGTTCGGAGCGGCGACCGCCCGGCACCCTTTTGAGATCCCCCTGTAAAACGAGGCGTCGCTGTGCACCCATTCCCGGACTGGGGACACACGGCAGAGCCTCTTCTAGAGGAACGAGCCGTTGGACGCTCGCCGAGCGGCGCATTCTGTCGTATTTTGCCCGATAAATGCCACGAGAAAACACAAATCTGAGCGTGTCAGTAAGACACAGCTGCACAGCGCCTGTCAGGTTGAGTCTACAGCGTTCTCATGTGCCCTTTAAGGGGCCGGCTCCCCGCCTGAGAGGGAGGTTCCTCTGAACAGTCTAGTTTGTGCTCTTTCTCGCTTCACTCGCAGCAAAAGCAGAACGATGGCAGAAGTCGCTCCTGCTCCAGCCGCCGCGCCGTCCAAAGCTCCCAAGAAGAAAAGCGCTGCCCGGCCCAAGAAAGCCGGCCCCAGCGTCGGCGAGCTCATCGTCAAGGCCATTTCGCAGTCCAAGGAGAGGAGCGGTGTGTCTCTCGCCGCCCTCAAGAAAGCCCTGGCTGCCGGCGGCTACGACGTGGAGAAGAACAATTCCCGCGTTAAGCTTGCCGTCAAGAGCCTCGTGACAAAGGGCACTCTGGTGCAGACCAAAGGCACCGGTGCGTCAGGCTCCTTCAAGCTCAACAAGAAGCAAGCCGAGACCAAGAAGAAGCCGACGAAGAAAGCAGCGACCAAACCCAAGAAGGCGGCCGCCAAAAAGCCCGCCGCGGCCAAGAAGCCCAAGAAGGTAGCGGCGAAGAAGCCCGCGGCCGCCAAGAAATCGCCGAAAAAAGCCAAGAAGGTAGCAGCGAAGAAGCCCGCGGCCGCCAAGAAAGTCGCCAAGTCTCCCAAAAAAGCCAAGAAGCCGGCGGCCCCGAAGAAGACGGCCAAGAGCCCGAAGAAAACAAAGGCTGTTAAGCCCAAAGCTGCCAAGCCCAAGGCGGCGAAAAAGGCGGCTCCCAAGAAGAAGTAAACGTGTTGTTTACCTTAATGTCCTGTTTCTCCTATTGAAAAAATGGCTCTTTTAAGAGCCACCCACATTTTCCTCTCAGAGTTAGATTTTCCTTCGTGCTGCGCTCAAAAGCTTGTCATTATTAGTCAGTAGTGATATAGGAAACTGCCAGGCTCGACATTATAATCGAGTTGCCCGTTTGCATTTACATGGATGAGAGTAGGAGCGGAAATGGGGTAAAAACACAGCGAGGAAACAGGGACTTGCTTTCTTTACTTCCTTCTTTGTCTTTAGCTCTCTCTCAGCTCCGTTCAGGTTTGCTTTATTGGCATGACAAATTTACATGTGTATTGTCAAAGCACTGCAAAAATTGCATCAAAACTAAATAATAATAATAGTTACAAAACCAAGATTGATAACAATAAGCCAATTAACAAGAGAAAGTGTTATCAATTAATAATATATAAGTATACACAATAATAAAAAGAAAAACTATTTGATATGTGTCTGCAGCACATAATTTATCTTCATCTCCCAAAGTATCGTATGTATTTTACACTCTCTGTCTCACACACACACACACGAAAGTGGAGGTGGTGGCGGGGGGGAGCAGCTGGCTTAGAGAGGAATGGTGGGCGGTCCCTAAACGTCGACCACGCTAATATGATTGGTTGTTGGAAGCCATCGCATTTTAGCCAATAGAAACGTAGAAGCTTTGCCTATATGAGGGGCGATCCTGCGATTTTTTATTTCAGTTTAGTTGAACGAATTCAGTTAAAGCCTAAGATGAGTGGAAGGGGGAAAACCGGCGGTAAAGCTAGGGCGAAGGCCAAGACTCGCTCTTCCCGCGCCGGGCTGCAGTTCCCTGTGGGCCGTGTTCACAGGCTTCTGCGCAAAGGCAACTATGCCGAGCGCGTCGGCGCCGGCGCTCCAGTCTACTTGGCTGCCGTCCTGGAGTATCTGACCGCTGAGATCCTTGAGTTGGCCGGCAACGCCGCTCGCGACAACAAGAAGACCCGTATCATCCCTCGTCATCTGCAGCTGGCCGTCCGTAACGACGAGGAGCTCAACAAACTGCTCGGTGGAGTGACCATCGCTCAGGGTGGCGTGCTGCCCAACATTCAGGCTGTCCTGCTGCCCAAGAAAACAGAGAAGGCGGCCAAGACCAAATAAATTGGGTTCTTCTGCCAAATTATAAAAACACAAAGGCTCTTTTAAGAGCCACCCACCATAGCAAGAAAAGTGCAGTTTTTCTTCCTCTCCTTGTGCTAAAAAGTAGATAGTCGATCGATCTTTAGAGGTTATCGTGTTTACGATAGAATGAAATATAATGATCACAGCTTCACCACGTCCCACGACTGCATACTGAATTAACCCCCCCGCTTCTCCTTTTCCCCGCTAAAGACTTTTCCTTTGTTCACCTTCCCGCGCGTTCTTATCTACTGTCATGTACATTAACATACGTTCCTATCAGGTCTATTAATGTAACAAGTTTAGGTTGTTTCATTCCGTACACACACACGTGCAAGTTATACGATTATGAACTCACGGAAGCGCATGAAATCACATTTTGGCACAGTGCAAGCTTTGGAAGTGTGACGTATTATCTTATTCTACTCGAATACAAGATGAATAAACTTACACGAACGTCTTTATAACTACGCGAGTGAAGGTCAAATAATAGGCGTATAATAATGAACCAAAAATCTGAGTAACGTTACACCGGACGTGTAAAAAAAGAAAAAAAACAAAAATGTGGTACATGAGCCCGCCAAGGCGTTGGGTAGTGTCTTGTGATTTGAAAATGTTGGCGCGGCAGAAGACGCCCAATAGTGTTTAGCCAGCGTGTGAGGAGCCGTCCAATAGAAGGCGGGCACATTCAAGACGCCCAATGAGTGGCGAGCAGCACGAACGCTTAAAAGGGGCGGCATTATGCGTGTGAAGTCGTTCTGTGTCTTTGTTGGACAAGAGTAGAGTTTGATATCATGGCGAGAACCAAGCAGACGGCCCGCAAATCTACCGGTGGCAAAGCCCCGAGGAAGCAGCTGGCCACTAAGGCTGCTCGTAAGAGCGCTCCGGCTACCGGTGGCGTCAAGAAGCCTCACCGTTACAGGCCCGGCACCGTGGCTCTGCGAGAGATTCGCCGTTACCAGAAATCCACAGAACTGCTGATCCGTAAGCTGCCCTTCCAGCGCCTGGTGCGGGAGATCGCTCAGGACTTCAAGACCGATCTCCGCTTCCAGAGCTCTGCTGTCATGGCCCTGCAAGAGGCTAGCGAGGCGTACTTGGTGGGTCTGTTCGAGGACACTAATCTGTGCGCCATCCACGCCAAGAGAGTCACCATCATGCCTAAGGACATCCAGCTGGCCCGCCGTATCCGCGGAGAGCGTGCTTAACTTAAACGGAGCGCTCCCAGCATTTTCCCCAAAAGTACCCAAAGGCTCTTTTAAGAGCCACCTAACTGTTTCACTTCAAAAGAGTAACTGTCCTGCACTGGCGTTCAGTTCTGTATTTGCCAAGCAGTACAAACAACAAAAACAAAACAAATGCTGCTCTATGACAATTTTATACACGTACAAATCTGTAGGTGTGTACATGCACTTATACATACATACATACATAGTAACTACGGGCAAAGAAATTCCGCAGGGATGTGTGAGCATACCTGGCCAAACATTATTATATCATGATATTTTACTGTATGGCTCTGTGCGCCATGTGAAGCTCTCCCCCTGTGTGGTTGTGTGTGTGTGACCCTGAGTATGAACGCAAAGTGCAGTAGGCCTCATCTAGGAGAAGCACGCACCCAGAGAAGAACCTGTTTGTTCCATCTCAGAACTAAAATGTTTTTGAAGGAGAAAAGCACATACGTAGAGAGACTTATTGAATAGTAGTAATACACAAAGTGAATAAAGCTTATTTTTGTATATATTTTACTTCTTGGTTTGGAAATAATGGAATCATTCTTGATTAGGAAAAATAATGATGTTAACAAGGATATGACAGATAATAAAAGAAACTATGTAAGGTTTGGATTTGAAATATTTGGGATGGGCAAGGAGGGGTCATCACCTTACCTTGACCTCAGCAACGGTCAAGGTCTTGCCCTCAATCTACTTTCACTTCATCTAATTTCACCATAAACCTCAAAAAAGGCCTAATTCTACATTTGCTATTACTCTAAATACATGTTAAGCTTGAGGCCTAGCGGTAAGACTAATTTGGCCTACTCTAACTACAACATAAGCTTAAAGCCTCGTTCTGTACCTGATTTAATTTTATAGCCTCATCATAAGTCTAATGGAGCCCTATAGATTTCAGTTTTCACTTACTACTTCACAAGCCTGAGGCCCTGCCCTAAGATTACTTTGACATTCTTTAACTGTAGCACTATAACATCTTGTTCTCACACTAACTAACTGCATCATGAGTCTAATGCCTGGCTGTACATCACAGACATAATAAGGCCTAGCATATTACCTACTTTAACTTACTCTTATGTCATTTTTATTCATTTCATAAACAATAACAACAATAATACACAGAAAAAAACAAAAAAAACAAAATTGCTCACTCTACCTTCAACATACTTCTGCAGGGCATACAATATAACCTTCATTTGTATATTCATTTATTACCCATAATTTATATTTTCAAACAAATGTGCACACAATGATTTTTATTCATAAAAACATACATGCGTGTAAAAAAAGGGAAAAAAATTGAAGAGGTTTAGAAGCATTATAATTGAAAGTCTGGACGTTTCCTGTATTTTACAGGTGTTTGTAGAACAAACTGCAGATCACAAACTAGAACATAGACATTTTGTTTGTATACATACAGCAAAGGATGCGCGTGTATGTGCGTTTACATTTATATAACTTATTTTACTACAAGCCTTACCATTCATTACCAATAGAGTAACTACGTGGGAAAACTGACTGAAATGCAGCAGAACCTTTGTTCATCTTTTCTTCCCACCTTCACAGAAACTGAAAAAGTAAGCTCTTTGAGTGGAAACTTGGGTGGCTCTTAAAAGAGCCGTTGGGTTTGATGAAGTTTTTCGTCACTTGTTACTTGGAGCTCGTGTACTTGGTGACGGCCTTGGTGCCCTCGGACACGGCGTGCTTGGCCAGCTCACCGGGAAGAAGCAGGCGCACGGCGGTCTGGATCTCCCTGGATGTGATAGTGGAGCGTTTGTTGTAATGAGCCAAACGGGACGACTCACCGGCGATGCGCTCGAAGATGTCGTTGACGAACGAGTTCATGATGCCCATCGCCTTGGAAGAAATGCCGGTGTCGGGGTGGACCTGCTTCAGCACCTTGTACACGTAGATCGCGTAGCTCTCCTTCCTGGACTTTCTGCGCTTCTTGCCTCCCTTACCAGCCGTCTTAGTCACGGCTTTCTTGGAGCCCTTCTTCGGGGCGGACTTGGCGGGCTCAGGCATGGTTTTCTCTTCTTCGAGTTCAACTGAAGAATGAGGAGGTGCGCCCGGCACCGGCTTATCTAGACTCCGATATTCAAATTATAGCTCCGCCCTTCTGAATGCAGACAAACGATCATTGGACAACAATCAACGGCTCACTTGACGGACAACTCCCAGCGCCCCCTCCTCACCCCCCTCCTCACCCCCCTCCCCCAGCTAAAGACTTTCCCTTTGTTCACCTTCCCGCGCATTCTTAGCTGTTGGGTATCACACGTACAATACAAATGTCCTTATCGGGCTTATTCTAAATATAACGAGTTCCCTCCCCCTCATTCCTTACACACACGAAAATGTTTTGCCTATCAACTCAAGAAAGCGCATGAAATAAAATGATCGTACAATTTTAAACATGTTTAAGGGTTTTCAAGCTAGCTTAAGCATTCGCCACCACTCCAGTTGATCCGGTATTAAATCAAGCTCACTCTGTCTTTAAAAAGCAAAATTACCATGGAGACATAATACAACGCTTGTTGTTTTCACTATTACTGGGTTACAAGGAAAAACTCTTCCGGTGGGTCTGTGGGGGGCTCTTAAAAGAGCCGTTGGGTTTATCGTTGTTCGAGTCGAGCGTTTAGCCTCCGAAGCCGTACAGGGTTCGTCCCTGACGCTTCAGGGCGTAAACCACATCCATGGCGGTGACGGTCTTCCTCTTGGCGTGCTCGGTGTAGGTGACGGCGTCCCTGATCACGTTCTCCAGGAACACCTTGAGCACGCCGCGGGTCTCCTCATAGATCAGACCAGAGATACGCTTGACACCGCCACGGCGAGCCAGACGGCGGATAGCTGGCTTGGTGATGCCCTGGATGTTATCGCGAAGCACTTTGCGGTGACGCTTAGCGCCTCCTTTTCCCAGACCCTTTCCTCCTTTTCCTCTACCAGACATGCTGCTTAGCTCTTCACTTGATGGCTGCAAAGAGAATCAACAGCAAATGGAGCGCTGTACGTGCCTGTTATGCTCCTCTACAGGACCTAGTTGAAACCAAGGCACGGGAGGCGGAGCCACGCACAACAGACACTACAGAGAAAACAGCAACACGATGGAATCAAGGAAAACACACAAAGCAAATACTGCCACGAAATAAATATCCCTCGTATTATTGTAACTATTACTATTACCAATACTTTTATTAGTGGTATCATTTCACAGCCTTATAATATTATCAATACTCTGTGCATAGTATTATCAATACCATTTGCAATATGCTAAAATATACTTATGGTTTAAAGATGTTTTGCTCTTTTATTTATATTGTTTATTTTCTTAATTTTGTGAAAAATAGAATTTGTTTTTTATCTTTAGTATTATGCAAATTGTCTTTGCAGTAATAAGTAACAAACTGTAACCTTGATAAGTAATTGATAGGGTTAATACCTTGTTTTGTAATTCTCCTCTTATTACTTCTTTTCTTGAGGGCCTTGCTCTCCCTTTGCTGCTGCGGTACTGTGAATTTCCATGCTGTAGAACTAATAAAGGGTTGTCTCATCCTATCTTATATAATGTCATTTTAAGTCAAAACATAAAAAATTATACAAAGCACAAAAGAAATATTGAACAAGCAAAGGAAGAAAGAAAAAAGAAAGAAATGCATTAATTTTAATACAATTCATCTTAATTTAAGTCAAATTTAGATCACTGTGGTTTGTCCAGGCTGGTAATATCAAAAGGTATGAATATGCATGAGTGTGTGTGTGTGTGTGTGTGTGTGTGTGTGTGTGTGTGTGTATGTGTGTGTGTGTGTGAGTCAGAGAGAGAGAGAGAGAGAGTATTACATACAATATCCTGTGGTCAAACTGTGAACTGGCAAGTCTGAGAAAGACCACTAGACTCCTTATTGTAAATGCTGAACTACTATACGAAATTATGTGGTTTGGTCGTTATAATTACAGTAAAATTATTGACATTTTAGTTCCAATTTTATTTATGCAAACTCACAAACACAGTAATTCAAGAAGTCACTCAGCTACACAATATTTCCACATATGAAAATATCTCTTATTCTACTGCTTGCACGTTCACATTTTGACCACACGAGGGCATCCAAGCTCCATCGATGACAAGTCGCCCTCAGCCCAAAACACCTGGGGCGAACTGTCTGCACTGTTTTTGCTTCTCTGATCAGCGAATTAATAACTAAACTATAAACTGGGTGCTGCTATGGTCCAAGTGTCTTCTGGTTATTTTATTTTAATTCAAAAGCAGTTTTGAAAAACGGGAAATGGGTCAGTTCTCGTTTTGGTTCTAGCTTCATTTTACTGTTTCTCAAACTAATCATTAAATCAAATAACAAATATGAAACAGTGGAATAAAGGGTCGTATTTAATTAATCCATATTAAAAAAAATCCTATCACATCAACCGGAAATCAGCGACCAGATTGCACGTGTTATCAAAAGCTCAGAAATCACTGAGATCAGGCGATCGGGTTAAAAATGATAAAGACAGAAAAGATGCATTAGTGTTGAGCAGACAGGCCTAATCCTGACATTTTAGGAGACTATATGATGTTTTTTACAACTGTTTCTATATTTGATGTAGTTACTGTATCAGTAGAAACTGAAGCGATATGAGGAAGAGACTCTTAAAGACTCCCGTCATTTAACAGCGAAATCATAGAGAAATGAAAGTCCCGCTGCTCAGTAATGATGAGGAAATATAACACTGCAATGTGGCGCCGTTAGAGGAGAACTTCGTTATAGCATCTGTGTTTCTGCTCCAGATGTTGTGGGGAAAATGATTTGCAGCTTTGCTCCAGATTTGGAGACTTAAATAAAGCCCAATTTCTTTTATTGAGATTAAGACTCTCCAGAAAACAAGCGCTAATCTGAGTTGGCCCAGGCGTCAAACGACAAACCCACAAACATCCACGCTTTTATACTCATTTTTGGCAAGCAGGGGTCGACATGTGTGTCACGCATCCCCCTGGTTCTGACTCTTTAGAGGACACCATTTCCCAGGATCCTCTGCGTGAACATATGACCATGACGTCATCCCACACCATCTATCAGAGATGTGCCTCACCGGATCACTGATTCTGTTCACCTGCTCTGTAGACCCCTGTAGTCGTGTCGTCATTTTGTGCTCTTACGCCCATAAGAGCTATCTATCGGCCAGAATGAACAGGGTTTTCGAAAAATCGCCTCTAGCGCCCCCTGTGTTCAATAAACATGTCCAGAACCCGATACGTTCTGTCCTGTGAACGTTCTTCTCTCGAACACCACTGGATCCTCTGAATTACGAGGTCGTTAAAGAGTTGTAATATGAATATTGCTACATGTGAGAAATGTACTTTAAATTAGATTTTAAATGCCATATTTAAAATCAATATAAAGGGCAAAATTTGTTGTGTAATTCTTTATTTTCCCAGTTAGTACAATTATAAACCCTCACTACTTATATTTATGATATGAGATCAGGTTTATGAGGTTTAATGATAATGAGTAGCTTTGGCCAATAATTGATATAGAATATTTGATTCATTAGACCATATAAGTGCTGATATTATAAATAATTATTATTCTTTTGTTCTCTTTAAGGTACTTTTGGAATTTTTACTGCTTCTTCTTACAAATGAGACTAAATCTCCAGTTCGGTAGAGAGTGAGGTGGATGAGCTTGTCAGCAGGGCAGTTTGGCCATGTTTTAGTTGTAAACCAAACAAAGAGAATATGGATGTTAACAGTGTTACACGCTGTCTGTGCAAAATATAGTTAACATTATAAATTATAAATGTTTAAGTAATATTAGAAGGTAGCCTGGTTGGTAATAGTATGGTCACTATATTGTGGTATATGTTAATTGTCAAGCGTATCTCTGGTCTGATCTATGAGGAGACCCGCGGCGTGCTCAAGGTGTTCCTGGAGAACGTGATCAGGGACGCCGTCACCTACACCGAGCACGCCAAGAGAAAGACCGTCACCGCCATGGATGTGGTTTACGCCCTGAAGCGTCAGGGACGAACCCTGTACGGCTTCGGAGGCTAAACGCTCGACTCGAACAACGATAAATAACGGCTCTTTTAAGAGCCCCCCACAGACCCACCAGAAGAGGTTTTCCTTATGATCCTGTAGTAATGAAAGCAGACTTTTATTGCATTCCGACTTGCTAATGATTTTACCTCTTAAACACTGACGGAATGACCTTAATTTGATACTGAAATAACTGGGAAAAGAGTGGAGGCGAAAGCTTCAACTAGCTGGACGGTCCCTCCTAATAAAGTTTGAAATATTTTAATCTTTTAATTTCAGAATCAAAATAATCCTTTAGTTGTCTCACAACGGGGAAAGTCTCAAAGCACTCAAAAGATAGAAAGATACGCTTACACATACACGGAGTTTGAGGTCACAGTGCACAGTATCCGACAAACACTTTGCAGTAGTAAATAAAATAAGAATTAAAATAGATAAAATAGAGTGCGTCCTACCACACACAAACACACACACAGTCACACTTTTAAACCTTACATTGTGCCGAAAATGTGATATATTTTATGCGCTTTCGTGAGTTCATAATCGTATAACTGATAGGAACGTATGTATTATACATGGCACACAGTAGATAAGAATGCGCGGGAAGGCGAACAAAGGGAAAGTCTTGAGCTGGGAAGAGAAGGAGGGGGGAGGGGTGGGCGTTGCCCGCAAATCGAACGATTGATTGTTGTCCAATGATCGTTTGTTTGCATTCAGAAGGGCGGAGCTATAATTTGAATATCGGAGTCTAGATAAGCCGGTGCGGGCGCGCTTCCTCATTCTTCGGTTGAACTCGAAAAAGGGAAAACCATGCCTGAACCCGCCAAGTCCGCCCCGAAGAAGGGCTCCAAGAAAGCCGTGACTAAGACGGCTGGTAAGGGAGGCAAGAAGCGCAGAAAGTCCAGAAGGGAGAGCTATGCGATCTACGTGTACAAGGTGCTGAAGCAGGTCCACCCCGACACCGGCATTTCTTCCAAGGCGATGGGCATCATGAACTCGTTCGTCAACGACATTTTCGAGCGCATCGCCGGTGAGTCGTCTCGTTTGGCTCATTACAACAAACGCTCTACCATCACGTCCAGGGAGATCCAGACCGCCGTGCGCCTGCTTCTTCCCGGTGAGCTGGCCAAGCAC